ATCTGTTCAAGGGGCAAACGCTCTATGATATATTCCCAAGTTCCGAGTTTCAAGTCTCTTCATTTCTCTTTTCTTCTATGTTTACTTCATAATTTTTTGTGAAACCCCAAAAACCTTTTACTTTATGCCGCAGCTTTACGAGCTAATCACGCTGATTGTGACCGTTGTGGTCATTTTGTTGTTTAAATACCCTGTAGAAATGCAAAAGTTTAGTGGGCTGCTTTTTACGTCGAAGATTATGAGTGAGAAACCAGAAATATATATATATGTATATATATGGTATGGTATGTGTTTATTTAGGAGGGAATAATAACAGTCAATCAGTCAATCAATCAATCAATCAAGTCATTTAGTCGAATCGGTCAGTTAATCAGCCAGTCAATCAGTCATCAACCAGTCAGTCAATCACCCATACCATTCAGTCATCAATCAATCAATGATACAGTCAATCATGTTTCCTATGCCATTCAGTCAGTCAATCACCCATAGCATTCAGTCAATCAGTTGACCAAGTCAGACATTCAGTCAGTGAGTTACTCAATCATTTGGTCAGTCAATCAGTAAGTCAACCAAGTCAGTCAGTCAATCAGTCAGTGAGTCAATCTATTAATCAGTCATTCAGTCAGTCGATCTGTCAGTCAATCAGTAAGTCAACCCGTCATGCAGTCAATCAATAGGTCAATCAAACAGTCAGTTCATCAAGCAATCAGTCTGCCTGTCACACATTTAGTTCACCAGCAATCAGTCTGTCTGTCACATAGTTAGTCAATCAGTTTTTTCACAAACTTCAACTAAGCTAACCCCTTTCGCTGCCTCACAGGGTATCTGGTATACCCTGCTTTGCTGACTGTCTCTCTAGCACTTCTTCGGCCTGTCTGTATGGCCTGTCAGTTGGCGAAGCGCCTCTCAATTTTGTTGGGCAATTAAAATGCAGTTTCGCTGCGAGACATTTATGCGTCGCAGCCGTCGACTTGTTGAGTGATTTGTACCTCGTGTCATCTTATACTTTTTTGAGGCACCGCGTGGGGGCGTGCCACTGCGGCAACTATGTAGCGCGGTCATCAAGTTGTCAAATGTCTTCATTTGCTGCATGCCCAAATCCAAGCTCGAAAATCAAATTCGTGCCACAAATTCAATTTCAATTGTTTGCAAATTTCATTTGACTGCATGCGGTCGGGGTTGGAGTGGGGTCAGTTGCGCTTGGGTAGTAGGAGCTGCTGCAGTGGCATTCCGCATTCGGCATTCGGTGCAGCTGGTCACAGCCATGACAAACAGGCGGCTAATGTGCAGTCCACTTCAGCTAGTTGGGCACTCCAACCCTCGATACCCTAGATTTTTCCCAGTTTTCCATTAGCAATTGTGCAGTTGTTTTTGTTTTTCTTCATTTTTTTTCGCACTTGAACGCATTTCCCGTTAAGTAAAATTCAGCTTCGATTGCGTGTTGGCTGCCCCTATTTCACATGGGTCAGGGGATTACACAAAATAATGACGCATAAATCCGGCTACGGCGAAACGCAATCAGCAGAGCATTGATTGCCTTGGACCACGGTGAGGGACACAGCTACCAAGGGTGAGGGCGAGATCGAGGATGAGGATGGTGCTGGACAGTTGTGGCATGGGGTGGCTAAATTGTGGTAATAAGTATGCAACTCATTTCGATTATCATTGTGGCAAACATTGAACTGAAGACTTATATAAGGAAGGCTTCTGTGTTTGCTAGGTAATACTTAAGGTTCAGATAAATAACTGTATTAATATGAGCTGCATGTTTGGAAGATCTAAGATCAAGTTTAAATTTTCATATATTTTTATTTCATTTACTGCCCAATCATCTTAAATTAACTATATGTTCTCTATATTACTACATATATAGGAAGGTCTAAGAATAAGTTTAAATTTCAGTTTATTTTATTTTATTTACTGCCAAATCGTCTGAATTTATATAAATGCAGCAAACATTCACTGCAAATCCATCAAGATAACTCTAATTAAAGATCAGAATCTGCTCGACGAATCCTCAGAATATTTTTACAATAGCAAATTCAGAGAAGCCCAAGTTGCCACTGAAGGCAATTTAATATGATTTTGGCAGATTAAATGATATTCGAAACTGTTATGCAGCAACTCACAACCCTCGAGAGAGCTAGATGTTTCATGGCTTTTCTATACAGATAAACGTGACAGTTGCATTTGGCAATTAGATGGAAATTTTTATAATTTTTTTAAAGTTTTGTATGACATGTTTGCTAATAGATGTTACTATTAGAAAGGGCTTTTTGTTTATTTATATCATTTTCTTCAAAATTTGAAATCTTGGTTTAATGTGGGCTAATAATGATGGGGCGTCATTTAACCAAGACAGAAAAGTCTGGCTTGACACGTTATTTCGTAGTCGTATTTAAATTGAAAAATATTGCTTGAATGATATAACCTCAGCCAAAGTAGTTTGTTTTAAATTTATAAATTTTCGATGCAAAAAATGTAATGGGAAATGTGGTCATTGTAATTGTAATTTTACATTAGTTAATGCAGAGCTTGAGCTGCTTATTTGCTTTAACTTGAGCATCTAAAATAGCTCTGAGGAAGTAGTTGACCTCGATGGCAGCGACAAATCAACAGATTCGCCAGATATTGCCGTCGCTTATTTGCACAGCTTCAGAATGGCCTGATTCTGCCTTTGACTTTATTCACAAAGCTGCTCTTATCAGTTACACTTCCTCTCTTGGCAGCGCAGTGGCTTGCTTTTAATATTTGCCTATGTTTTCTACGAGCTAATATCTATTCTATAGTAGAAATGTGTCTGAATCAGAAAAGTTATATCATTAAAAAATGTGGCTTTATTTTATAGCTAAACCTTATCTAACCCTCAGCTTGGCAATTTCAAGACCTTCTGAACTCTTAATTTTCATGAATAAATATTTAGTTTAATTCTTTAATATTATTTTTTAAGTAATCATACCGCATTAGAGTCCTAAAGCTTTTCAAATGCCGCACATAAATTCATAATGCCATGAAATTTAACTTTATTTTATTTTTTGACTTTGCTTTTGACTATTTGCAACTGCAGCAAGCTAATTTGGAATTTTAATTCCATTTATTGCCGCATTGAAAGCCAGCAACGGAGCTGCCAAAAAAGGAAAAGGAATTGCCAGAAATATGATATGGGCTGCTCTCGTCTAGCTGGGTTAGTTTCAGTCAGTTCTGCTCGGCTCTGTTCTGGTCTGGCTGTGTGGAAACATGAGTGGCTGTGGCAGCAGACAAGACGTAGAATTTGGCTGGCTGTGTGAATGGCTTGCCAAATGCTGCTGCAGCTGCTTTGATGATGAGGTCAGGGGTTATCAGAGGGTAGAGCAGGGTAAGCACTCGATGCGACAATTGTTGAAATTTAAGAGGTTGCAAACGCGTGTTGCAAAATGTCGCAATTTGCCGGGCGCGTGTGGCACGTGATGTGAAAAATGATGCACGCACTCGCGCACACACTCTTTGTAGTTGTGATCGGATCACAACATAATCTGAGCCGCGTTATCACTTTGGTAAACAGCAGTCGAAGCAGGCTCGAATATCAATCAATTGCCCTACCTCACCTCACTTTCTCTCGCTCGCGCTCTCCCTCTTCCTCTCCGCCCCTCTTCTCTTTAATCTCAAATATACTCTCAACACATTTGGCAAATGACACTCTGAACTTGTGGGAAATCTAACTGTCTGGGACGGGGTTGAAAACCTTGAAAATAAAAGTAGTTCAGAATGATTTTAGTTCGACTTGTGTAGACTATGAGCAGTTCATGCGATAACCTTTTCAATTGCTCTGCACAGCCCAACAAATTCTTTATCGCCAGAGCCTTGAGCTTGAGCCTTGAGCTGACAAAATCGGGCATCAAATTTCAACTGAAGTGGAACCTTAAAAAGGACTACATTAACAAAGCATGGAGATAAGCGAATCAATTCTTGTTTTTAACTACACAAATTTATGAACTAGTTCTTAAATGAACTAGTTCTCAAATGAACATAAGTTGAATGTATAGAACATATATATTTATAAATATATATATATATTTTGGTTCTGAACTAGTTCATAGAAAGATAAATAAAAGAACTAGTTCCGAAATGAATTCTCAATTTATAAAAAAAATAAGTTTTCAGTGCTACTATTTATTTTCAACTAGTTTCAATTTATATTGATGCTCTTGGCCAATCACTAAATGAACTAGTTCTAAAGTTCTATAGCTCACAAGTTCCTGGAACATTCTTATGAAAAATAATTAAATATATAAATCAATAAATTGTTAAAATAGTTTTTCTTTTTATTTAGATTTGAAACATGAAATGAACTAGTTCTTTGGCAATCTATCAGCATGACTATAAATTAATAGTTATATTTTAAGTTCTCCAATTACTTTTAGTTCTAGTTCCAAGCTGTACAGAATTTACAGACTAATAAGTAAAAACTCATAGTTTAGATATGAGTTTAAGTACAAACAAATGAACCAGTCATAAGTCAAGCAGCTAATTATTTTTGGAACCAGTCAACTATCAGTCGTTACTCATTGTACGCGAACTGAACAAACTCAAACATCGACGTATCACAGATGACTCATATTCTCCTTCCTCTACCTCCTACTTTAAACATCGGACCTTTAATAAAAATTTATATAAGGGAAAGATAAAGCAAATGTTGAACTAATTAAACTTATGCACTTCACAACAAAATAAAAGTCTGGAGGCGATGAACCTCCCGCTCTGGCATTTCAGATGCAGATATAACTGTGGGCAGTGGGACAACAAGGAGAGACAAAATAAATAGAAATAATATTTTAGATACTATATTAAACGTTTTTCAGATTTTAACAAGTTGCGAATTGCAAGCAAACTTTAATTTTCTCACTATTTACTCACTTAATAAAAATCAAAAGAAATATTTTGTTGAGTTGTGAAATGCGAAATGCTCAGCAGAATGAGCACTGCGACTGATGCAAGACGCATCTCAGTTTCGCATTGTTTTCCTAGCAGAGCGGTTCATATACGCAAGTGCCTCAACATGAGATCCGAGCTTCTTATGACATGTATATTGTATATGATATCAAATGAAATTTTCACTGTTAGTGGATGGTGCTTTATATGTAACGAGAAGAGAGCACCTGATATATCGCAGGCAGTGAATAAAGTTGTTGGCGTTATTGAAGATGAGCTGGGCAGCTTGTCACATCGGTTTAACGAAATGAGCAACTCCAATGAAAGAATTTCGCTTAAGTTAGATGAGTTTTGTCGCAGTGAACTGAAAGAAGTAAACCAGGAAAATATGAGATACCTTAAGCAGAACAATTTGCTTTTAGCCAAAATAAGGAACTTGGAAATGAACATCAGTGAACAAAAGCAGCCAAGCCATGAACAAGCGGAGAAGATTGAGAAAATGGAAGCACAGCTGAGCTTTGAGAGGGCGAAAAATTTTCATTTGGGAAACGATTCGAAAAGTGCAAAGCAACGGCTAACTGAAACTGAAAAGCTTCTTCAGAACTATATAGCTCTCATCGAAAGTAAGGAAGTGCAAATGCGAGAGCTGGAAGGCAAAAGTCAATCCGATGCGAATCAAATTCAAAAACTTGAAGCTCAGCTTGAGGCCTACGACAGCTACTGCCAGGCAAAGAGCTGCTTGATGTTCGGCTCTTCGACGGATGTTCATGTAATAAAACCTCGAGGTGTTGAGCCTTTTGAGGCACTGTGTAATGGAGAAGTCGCTGGACCCGGCTGGATCGTGATACAACAGCGGCTCGATGGTAGCGTCAACTTCAGGCGTAACTGGACCGAATACCAAAAGGGATTTGGTAGTCTGAGAGGTGAATTTTTTATGGGCCTGGAAATCCTACATCGCATCACAGTTTCGGAGCCATACGAACTCTACATACAGCTGGAAGACTTTGAGAACGCGACCAGGTATGCACGGTACGATCTATTCGAAATAGGCAGCGCAGAGGAGGATTATGCTCTCAACAAGCTGGGCGCCTACTCGGGCAATGCTGGGGATGCGCTGAGGCTGAACTGGAAAGCGAAGTTCAGCACCTTTGATCGCAACAATGACGCCTCGGAAGGCAACTGCGCCCAGGATCTAGCTGGCGGTTGGTGGTACTATAGATGTGGCTTTAGGTACATTATATATACTATCATCGATATTCTATATTCTGTAATTCTATTTTTATATATTCAGTAACTTGAATGGCGAATATCTCATAGCAGATTCTGATTATCGTTCTGTATTTTCGGGAATATTCTGGGCTAAATGGAGGCACCTGGATTATTCGCTGAAGTCCGTCCTAATGATGATACGTCCGAAAGCTGTATGAAAACGCAATCGTAGCGAATCACATAATTAATTAAATATAAATATAATAAAATATATATATGAATACTCTTTGGTATTTCCAGAATATTTTTATATAAACAGAGATTAGCTTTATGAATGTGTGCATCTGAGTAACCCCTGCGTCCGGTGGTGTATAAATAGTTTATATATATAAATTATATACTATGTTATATTTTATATACTATATACTATATTTATACAATATATATAGTATATTATATACTATATATATTTGAGTGTCATACAAGGTGTCTGTGATTGTTGGCTGAGATTGGCTGAGAAACCTTTGTATATTTTAATTTGAAAGCTTGCGGGGCATATATAAAAATTTGTATGAAAAAGTTGCCTTTGTACAGGGTATATTCAAGTGTCATACAAGGTATCAGCTATTGCTTGAATGCAAATACTTAATACAATTACTCAGACCTGGATTATATATATATTTATTTGATACAGTTGGTAAAGCTATAGCATATAGTTAGCTAATCAGACGAAGTATATTTAAATTTCGTAGCAATGCAGAGGAATTCATAATTTATTTTGGATAAGCTCTAGAGCTCGCTGTTGCTAGCTTAAAGACTCATAAAATTTGAGTATTTTCAAGTCGGATTGAGGTTCAGTCGCTCACCAGCTCTTATCAGCTTTAGCAGCTGAAAACAAATAATTGCATAAAGGAAAACAGTTCAGTTTTACATGCAGCGAAGTCAACTGGACTGTATTAATATTAAAACAAAAACAATGAAAGCCTTGACTGTACTTGGACTTATATTGCTAGCATGTCCAAGTCTGAGGAGTGAGAATTTTGCAGACGAATTAAGTTCACTGAGTACTGAGCAGCTACAGCAGAGAGTGAAACATTATAATGAGCTCATAGAAAGCTCTGAGAAATTGGCCGAAGCATTGGAACTTGAATTCAATGAAATCCAAGAATCGATTAATTTCGATAACTCTGCGGCAGAGTTTGAGAGCATGCGTAAGCTGTCGAAAGAGTACCGTGAGATGAAAGCTAACTCCAGAGCTTTTGAAGAAAGCTCAAAGCTTTATAGGGATGAACTTTTGAGAATCGAGCCTTTACTCTGTCTGGACGATCACCAGGTTAATGGCTATGCTTACGGCATTTGCGGAGGCGACAGCACGGCCGGACCTGGCTGGACTGTTATACAGAGGCGCATTGATGACACGTTGCACTTCAATCAAAGCTTTCAAAATTATCACTTTGGATTTGGCAACAGCAACAGCAATTTTTTCATCGGCCTGCAGAAGATTTATGAGTTGACAAATTTCAAACCTCATGAGCTGTATATAAGGCTCAAAAGCATTACGGGCGAAACCAAATATGCGCGCTATAGCTGTTTCAAAATTCAATCTCAGCATCAGGACTTCAGGCTCTCAGCATTGGGTGATTATGTTGGCAATGCTGGCGATGCCTTAGGAAAATCTCTATACAAACAATTCAAGATTTATAGCAAGGGCGACAATGATCCCAGCACTACATCCGGCTGGTGGATTGGAAACGGCTATGAGGGCGTTGAGAGGTATAAATGGAAAAGATGGAAAACTTTTAATATTATAATATTATATTCAAACATGTATTCAACTTCATCTTGCAGCAATCTGAATGCATTACCCAGTCAATGGAATACTTGGCCTGTTTCTCTTATAAATGTGGAAATGCTGATACGTCCGCGATTAGCTATGCTCGATTCAGATAAATACAAATATAGTTGCTAAAAGGGTTTGAAACTTGAACTGAATGTTCGCTTGAATATGAATTAATAAACGTATATTAATTATATATGTGCATGAATCTTTTTCAGACAGGCGTGATACCAGTTATGCACACTGATAATACTCAGTATTCACTTCTAACGGGTATATACTTTAATTAGAAATTTGAAAATTAAAATTGTCCCGACATCCCTATATAGCAATCTCTCTACTCAATTTTTCTCTCTCACTCTCTCTCTCTCACACTCCCTCTCTCTCTCTCTCTCACACTCTCTCTCACACTCTCTCTCTCTCACACTCTCTCTCTCACACTCTCTCTCTCTCACTCTCTCTCTCTCACACTCTCTCTCTCTCACACTCTCTCTCTCCCACACTCTCTCTCTCACACTCTCTCTCTCACACTCTCTCTCTCTCACACTCTCTCTCTCACACTCTCTCTCTCTCTCACTCTCTCTCTCTCACACTCTCTCTCTCTCACACTCTCTCTCTCACACTCTCTCTCTCACACTCTCTCTCACACTCTCTCTCTCTCACACTCTCTCTCTCCCACTCTCTCTCTCTCTCACTCTCTCTCTCTCACACTCTCTCTCTCACACTCTCTCTCTCACACTCTCTCTCTCACACTCTCTCTCTCTCACACTCTCTCTCTCACACTCTCTCTCTCACACTCTCTCTCTCACACTCTCTCTCTCACACTCTCTCTCTCACTCTCTCTCTCTTTCACACTCTCTCTCTCTCACACTCTCTCTCTCTCACACTCTCTCTCTCTCACACTCTCTCTCTCACTCTCTGTCTCTCTTTCTCTTTCACTCTCTGTCTCTCTTTCTCTTTCACTCTCTGTCTCTCTTTCTCTTTCACTCTCTCTTTCTATCTCCCTCTCTTCTCTTTCTTAGTTTCTTGGTTACTCAGTTTAGCAACTTTATCAGATTCCTTTTCTCCACTTGCAAATAATCGATAAATATCGCTCATTTTATTTCGATATTAAAGCCATTCAAGCTTTAGCTTTAATCTTTGCTCGCTTCTATAACTTTCTGCTGGGTATTCAATTGTAGGCATCTTTGTTGAGCTGCTCTACAGCAGCTAAGATTAGTATAAAAGTTTCGCTCTGACAGCTGAATGCTTTTGTTGAGTGCGCAATATATATGTGCGGCAAAAACAGAAGCAAATAAAACTAATTAAAATATGCAAAAAATCCGATTGGAATTTGTCGCTTGGCTGCTGTTTGGCGTTGCTTTGAGTCATAAAAATCAATGGGACTCAAAGATCGAACAGATGTTCTCCGTCATTGATCAACTCGAAGACAGCATAACAGAACAGGAAGAGCTATTTCAAGACTTACATAAGGATATCGAAGAGGAACTGCAAGATTTGCCACCAATTAGCCAGCAGGAAGAACATCAGCTGGATAAAGCACAGACAGAAATTTGGAATTGCCAAGCCGACAGCCGTAGGAAAGAGCAACACATATTGCAGCTCAGCCAAAAGTTTTGTCGATCGCAAGAGAAACTTCTGACTTGTCGGACTGCCCTCAGGCAGACTACATATAGAGCAGATTATTATGCTAGAATTCAAGGAGCCAAAACCAAGCCACTGAAGTTAAATCAAAATTGTCTGCGCCTGGAGAATGTGAACGGCAGCTACACTATTAAACAAGGTTTGTATACACTGCCCACACACTGCGACTCCAGCTGGACACTTGTGCAGAGGCAAAATAATAACAACTTGATGCGAAAATGGCTGGAATTGAAATCAGGTTATGGACAATCGATGGATGCTCATGATTATTTCATTGGCCTCGATACTTTCTACAATATGACGCGTGAAAGGTCACACGAAATGCTGATAAATATTCAATACAATGACAACACTTGCGGCTTTGGCTACTATAACCACGTGTCCATAGGCAATCAATTCGGCAGCGATAAACTGAAAAGCGTGGGTCAATACTTGGGCTCTCTTCCAAATCATTTGCGAAAATGTGTCAATCAAACGTTCACAGCAGAAAATGGAAAGAGTGATCAACTTCCCTTCTCCAACTGCGTCCAACATGCGCTAACTGGCTACAATTATCTATATAATAACTATAAGTCGTCGATATTCCTAATGCGACCTTTATTATAATGGAACAAACATCGTTGAAGCTTGCCAATCCCGTAGATATGCACTGTATTTGTGGGTAAAACCAAATAGTCTATTTTTATTATTTTTAATTTTATATATAAAATCGATAGGTATATCGATAGTCTTGGTTGAACAGTAATAGCTTTTAGCTGTGATGTGTATGGACAGATTTTCGCGAATATATGATTGTTTAAACTTCCATATTTAAATTTAAAAAATATCAAATTTCTTTATATGTTTATATATAATCGATAAGTATATCGATATGTTGCTGTCTTCAAATATCGTGTGAGCTAAGTAAATTTAAAATTGCCTTGCATATATATATAATTTGTTGTTCTATATATATTCGATAACTATATCGATAGACTTAAACGAACTCTAACAATGTTTACATGTCATAAATACCAATAGGATTCAGTAAACAATCCAATTTACTCACATTCAGCTTAGTATGTACTGCTTCTTTATCATTTATTTAGATTATCGATAACTATATCGATGCTTAAATAAGCTGGAATAATATAAATATCGATTGATTTTGTTATTTTTATGATTGTGTTACATTTTAATAAATAAGTATAAACTATATATATTATATCTACAAATATATAGATTATCGATAGCTAAATCGATAATCGTATGTTTTTAAAGTTCCAAATATAAAAGCCAAAAAAAAAACAATTTAAGTAAACGTGTTCATTTTCCATCTATTTGGTTTATATATACATATATAATCGATAACTATCGATCACCTTAATCGAATTGAAAACCTTTCAGCTATTTTTAATTTCGACTGTTTTATGCCTATAGATAAAGACTCGTCTTTTGATTATACACATAACATGCGCATCTCTATGTTTATAAAGTTAAGCCCGATAAACTTCTTTAGATAGTTCTCTCAAGCAGCTCATTAGAGATTTCTTCCGCTTAGTATAAGTGCAGCTTATCATCTGCTGCTTCGTCGAATGAGGCCAAGTTCAGGCTGTCAAATGATGAATGGACTTGGACTTGGAGCCCTGTTGCCAAAAGGTCAGAGCTCAGTCAGTTCCGCCCTTATCTCGAATACACATCAACCGAGCGACACAAACATAGAGACAATAAGCACAGTGAGCGCAGCTCAAATTGGAGCGCCTCATAAACGATCCCAGACTCCCAGAGGCAGACAAAGACCCTCAGTGAGCTATAAAAAAAATAAACGGAGCCCGGCGAATATCTGAGGCAACAAATGTATGAATGTGAGCGCATTTCTATGCAATTAGAGGCAAAGACCCCGATAGATAAAAAGAAAAAAAAACACCAAAATGATGCGCTCAAAATGTAACAAATAGTAAATTTCATTTCGTTTTGGTTTGTTTTTGTTTTTTGTTTTTTTTTTATGTGTATACAATAAAAGCCACACACGCCGCCTCCTCTGCAGTGGATGAGACGATGGTACCATCATATCTTAAAACGGGCGACACTTGACAATGGCGACGTGTGGTCCATGGTTCGAGGCTTGAGAGTTATGAAACACTTCCCGAAAGAAAGAAAGAAAAAGTCGTGCAATAAATAAAATGCTTCAAAGTGCACTTAAGATAAAAGTGGAAAACAAAACGAGAGAGAAAAAAAATTGAACATGTTGCGACTCATCTCGAAAACTTCTCGAAATCTATTTGAAAACTACAAAATCTGGGTCAATTGGCTGTTTGTCACGCATAAAAATTATTTCATAGATTTTATACTAAATCGAAATTCGAATTTGGCCTGGCAAATTGAAACATCAGCAACTTTTTGTGGGTTTCAATGTCAGACGGGATCAATAAATCGCATAGATAACTGCATATTACTTCCAGGTGATTAGACGTGTGTCCATCTCTTACGCTTCGCTGGGTAACTGTGGCCGAAATGTATGCACACAAAAGGTGAATGCCTAGCATATGCTTTGCCACCTCTTAACCTGAACCTCAATCCAGATACCCATAAGCCCGGACGCACTTACGCCTGACTGAGTTTTTCGCACGTTGCGACGAGTCAGGCAAAAATCATGAGGCAAATTACTTGGGTCATGCGAGTTTTTGGGTCTGGGCCAAACGAAAACAACCAAGAATATTTTGCAGTCGAGTATAGACGACTATGTCATGCTCGCTCAGAGTTTATGAAAAATGAGTTGAATATGATTTTTTGATGTGAGTTGATATTATATTAATAGAAATCTTTTATATTTAAAAGAACTCGTTGGAAGAGCCCTCTTTTAATTGATCTGTAGAAGATTTCATTAGTAAAATTCATAGAACTTAAAGAACTCTGTAGAACCTACAGAATCCAGAAGCCATAAAACCCAAACCCCCATAGTAGCCATAAAACCGAAAATCCCATAGATTCGAACTTATCGAATCTATTAAATCTATCGAACACATAGAGCCCATAGAATTCATAGAACATATCATAACTATCGAACCCATAGAATCCATCAAATATATCCATAGAATATATAGACTCCGTATACTCCATATACATCATAGATTTCATAGACTCCATAGAATCCATAGAATCCATAGAAACCAAAGAATCCATAGAGCATATATAACCCATAGAGCTCATATGATCAATAAAATATAATCCATACAAACTCCACGGAATCCATGGAAGCCATAGAATCCATAGAGCCCACAGAAGACTCAAAATACATAGAATCCACAAGAATCCATGGAGCCCTTACAGCCCACAGAATAGTACATCGACATCTAAAACTTAGGATGGCAAGAAATTTTGATTTTCACCAATTTGCGATTTCCCTATTCGCTCACCTCCCAAGATACAGTAAAACTCTAATTTTTTACTCTTTAATGTCAACTGCATAATTTCAAATAGTCATACTAAAATCAATATACTCTTTATTG